TTAAACAAAAAATACCTTATCCCTTATTAATTCTGAGAAGAACTTGAATTGGTATACATCAATATCAGAATGGAGAGCGAGGTCAAGACCAAATACCCACCACCTCTTTGGCAGTTGGAGGGCAAAATAGCTTCTCTTTTGAGGCATGAGCCACCCACCCAACCAACTTTTATGACAAATGTACCTCATAAATGTCTGAAGCCCATCAAACCAATCTGCAATGGATAAACAAAAATTGACCCACATATAAACAACTAGTGTTCACTCTATGGAACTTGAATGAAAAAAAGGTGAAGCAACTTGTATTGCACGCCTTCAAGTAAAACATTAGACTAACCATGATTTCCTGGTATAACAAAACACTGAGGTCCTTCATAGTGCTTCAATTCCACATCCCCGGAAGGCAATTCTGGCTTGTTCACCGCAATATGGTCTTTCTTATACCACATGGGTGGTTGAAGAGCATACTCAAAAGGGCAAAAAAGGCGCCTCTCATATGTAAAAGCTGATGGATTAGGATACCTTGGCATAGAGCAGAAACAATGACAATTATTTGAGTTTTTAGAAGCAATGAGGAAAATGGCACTTTTGGTCACCCAATTATGGGGAAAAGTCAATTTAGTCCCTTACTTATTAGTGTCAGCACATCTAGTCCTTGAAATTTAGTCAGCCCATCATTGGAGGGAAAATTTAATTTATCATACAAATTTGTTAAACCTCAAATTCTTGATTACATATGATTGTATCCAAACACTCATACGATCTACATTTCATAATTAATTCTTGCGACTCTTTATAATACTCCGTATCAAATTAGAGAATAGAAAGATTGTAGTTTTTTTAAATAATAGCATTGAAATATACTCTCTCCAACCCAATATTATCTTCCTTGTTACTATTCACATAGTCAGAACGTGTCTTTTTTCATACATATTTTCAATGACCATTTGTAAAAATAAAGCAGTCATGTCACCTCTTATTTTGTAGACTTTCTAATGTAGTTTTAAATATATTAATTTTATTTTAAAACTTTTCACTAATAATTAGATAAATAGAATTTAAAATAAGTTAAGTCGAACATCATAAACTGAAACGGGAAGCTAATTTTGGGACGGATGGAGTACAACTAAATAACTTCATTTTACTTGACAGTTGAGATATCATTTTAGAAAAATATTGAAGGAGCATACGCAAGATCACCGCCTATGAGGAGAAGATTCCCACGAGGCAAAGTAAGCATAGAACCATTGCTACTTTGGACACGGATGGAGGGTTGAGCAAGAAGCCTTGCCACTGTGTATGAAGAATTGCCACCATCACCGGTATCAGCCATAAAGTCAAACCAAAGATCATCCTTTTCACTGAACTGATCATACAAGATATCTTCCTGTTTAGCTCCATCCTGAACTCTGCTCATAGCAGCCTATAAAGATTAGCAAGATCGCCTTAATCCTAAATTGGCAAATACTAGTATATGCAAAATGTGAATAGCTGCAAGGCGACAAAGAATACCTGCAACATACGCATATCAAAACGTCCCACAAATACAGTAACTGAAACGAGCAGATCAAACACTGTTTTGAATAAATCAGCAGATGTCCTGTAAAACACATTGACCATTGTTATAGTTCCTATGTTCTGGTGCTTGGACAGTTGCAAGAGGAAAAAAAAAGATCTGTGTAACCTATAAAGGTGAATTAGAAAATAACATACCCTGAATACCAAGGAACCATATCCAAAAACTCAGGCTTCATCTGCTTTTCCTTCAATTGCTCAAATTCCTTTGGCGATAAAGGGTGTGAAAGAGCCCATCTGGGGTTTTTTAAAAGCTTTAGATGCTACAACTCATATGCATAGTGGCATTCAAACATGACTTTTATGATGAGTTAAAAATGAGATCTAGAACATGTATACATACATAGGAGAAGGAACCTAGTGAAACAGTGGCAATCACAAGAATAGTAGTAACAAATAGTTACTCATTGACCCCTAAAACTATATTACCCCTCTATCTTTTAGAGGACAACCTAATTAATATCCCTTAAAGAAAATTAAAAAAATATCATCCCAGATGTTCAATGCTTTAATGCCTTAACCCTACTGGGCTCATCAACAAAATGAACTAAAAACCACTAAATATTACTCCCTTCTTTCCTAACAGAAATTTAAATATTCCATTTTGGACGACGTCCCAAAAAGACCTTTACACTTCTTTACTTTCCCTTTTAGAAAATGAATATGTGACTCTTATCATTTTTTCTATCTTCAAAATATATTTTGATCACACACCAAACACCTTTCACTTTTCAACACTTCTTTTAAACTCTGTGAAATCAAATTGTCAAGTTCTTTGAGGGACAGAGTAAGTATATTATTTGAAAAAAATTACAAGATAATCACTCACCCCGATGAACGTTCCACGACATAATTAGCAATGTAGAGGCCAATAAAAGTTGCCCATAATGAATAAATTGGTGAGATTTCATCTGATGACTCTGCACATGAGCCACCGCAACTCAACTAAAAAAAGTAACAAATATAGTATAGCAACATAAGATCATCAATCTCATTGACATGGCTATAATCTATGAGCTGTACACTAGTACACAAGAGATTATGTGTACCTCTCCATAGATAACCCACTTAGATAAGAATGGATAGTCACTGGCAGATCCAACCGGTGCAAACCAAAACTTACAAACTTGTTCTTTGAACTCGCTCATCTGGATAAATTTTGCAAGCCACGTGTTTCTCTCTGCCTTGTTCCACAGAGAAAACCAACTAGAATCTTTCCTCTCAAAGATTGGCTTTTGCTTTATTATAGCTAGGTTACCACAGTGGCTATAGAACACACAACACGCTATGCTTAAAACCTACAACAGCATCAAGCAAGTCCAAATAGTAAATGAGGGCCATACCCACTCATTATTTCGTGATGATTATTAAAGTGAGGTTTGGAAGTACTCTTACAGTACAATTTTGAACAATTGCCAAGATTTCAGGCCTTCTCTTAGCAACGCGGGCCACAAGTCCGAGATGGCCAAGCCCAAGAAATATAACATGGAAAACAAGAAGGATGCAGATGGAAGAGACATATATAGTCAAAAACAAAGACAGGTTCATCCTAAGATCTAATCCCATTGACTGAAAACTGGGAAGATGATAGAGTGCAGCAACAAATATCCAAATTATATACCTACATAAATGAAGAGAAGAGAAAAAAGTTCCATTACGAATTTCCATCAGAAGTAAAATCAAATGTAACACCGGAAACAAAAACAAAAAAAAGTACGCAGTAACCATTTACCACCGGCTGAAATTTGAATAATTAGGCTTAATTGTTTTCCCAATAAAGGGAGAGGAAAAGAAGTAAAAGAATCCAAGTAAACAGGCATAGATGGACCACCACTTGACATTGCTATCCAACTTGTGAATGAGGGTGTGCACGTTATCCGACGATATGAAGAAAAGGCAACCGACGATGACAGTGATTAAGAAGTGGCGCGAATGCTCGTGCGGGTAAGGGTAGGGGTGGGTTAGGATTGTCCTGACCGTCTCCATGTTAAGGGTATCTAACAAACCAGTGGATTGCTGCTTATCGGATCCCATCTCTTAGCTGCTGATCAAGAACTCTGCTCAACTGCACAAGAGACAAGAAGAGACATCCATCACAAATTCGAAACAGGGGACTTGCTTTTGCCATAATAAATAAAATAGGGTTTGCCTAAAATGGAAAATATTCTGCAATGGACGAACAATACCAGAAAGAAAAGAACCATTTAAAGAACATGGAATCATCCCGTTCACGGAATCACCGCCATCAAATACCCGCCGGTTCAAGAAACCTAAAATGGCTCGACCCGGAAATTCAAAATTTTGAAGAAAAAACAAATTGTCCGAGAAAATGCCACCCGATTGAATTGAATTAAAAAAAAACAAAAAAAAAAAAGTTAGAGTCTTGACGCGAAATGAATGGATTCGCCTGCAGATGCGTGTGCGAGTTGTGTGGTGCAGAGAAAAGAAGAAAATGCTATCCTCAAACAGTTAGCTTTGATGGCGGCAGAAGGTTTGATCCGAATAACTGCTTCTGTACGTTTTTTCCCAGGATTAAACTTTTGTTTTCTTAAACCGCACAACCGTATAAGACATGTGTCTATAACTGATTTAACAGTTTATAAAAATAATCTATACTTGTGTTTGATTACTTCTCTAGAGAGGAGTTCATTGGAGATATTTTATATGAGAGTCAATAGTGTAATTTAGAGGGCTAAAATAAAAACTTGGAATGCAAATATAACGTGTAACTTTTTATTTAGTAGAGTCACAATATGTTCACAAAATCTTTGGCAAACAAGTTATTTTTATTTGGCTTAAAATATAAGATTTTATTTATTTATTTTATTTGTAAATAAAATATGTGAATCAATATAATTTTAAAAAATAAATTCTGATGGCTCACTTTTAATTTTTGAACATCGTTTTAGCATTACCATCATCTTCACTTTAAATTCTTTCTTTCTTTCATAAACTTTAATCACACAACTTCAATCGTCGAAACTCCCCAGAAGTCAAGTAAGAGGATGTTAGTTACTCCGTACAAAGTATTTATTAAGAAACATTGTCTCACGTATTCGAAGTATCCTAATGTATACGGTAAAAAAGTGTAATAACTACGTTGGCAAATGACATATGTTTTAGTACTATTTAATGCAAATTTTACTTTATTAATGTATTATTTTGTGATTCTAATGTTAGATCTACTTATTTTAATTTTTTTAATTATTACAATCTTTTTTTATTTTTTTAATTGATTCATTTATTTTTATTAATAAATAAATATTTCCATGAAAATTATATAAGTTTTAAATTGAATATGATGAAAAATGTAAGAGAAGGGGAGAGACAGGTTTTTGAGAGCGACCATAGAACACCATGTTTGCCGACAAAGTTTACTCCGTAATGAAATTTTTTTTCTCTAATTTATAAATACTCCGTAAATCTCAAAAACACACTTTTTAGTTTTTAAACTCCGCACAAAGTGTATGAACAGTACCTTCCTATACACCTTAGCAGTGAGCACATTTTTTATACACAGAGCTCCGACCAAACAACCAAAGAGCGGAGCCAGTGTCTACAATAATGCTGTATTGAGGCGTTATGTACAGTAAAAATGGCAAACAACAAAAAATATGCATTTGGACACTAAACTAATAACGTAGACCTGTATTAATCTACTGCGGCGAGTCGTGAATCGTGATGTGCTTTCAATTTGTGCAAGAATTGTAAAGTCTCTTTATAAGAAGGATCGTTGCGGTTCAGAGGCTTGCATGAATTTATATGGTCAGTTGACTCTAACACCTGCACCAGCATCCATCCCCACATAAAGATTAGCCACCGAGAGAGAGAGAGAGAGAGAAGCAAAAGAGAAGAAGGTTAACATTTGAGTTTCAAACAAAAAGAAAGAAAGAAATGCACAGAGGATTATTTAACTCACAACTAATTCACCAAATCCAGGATATGCAGACTCCAGAGGTACAATTTCCATTCGAAAAGCCCAGCCTCCATACCCTTCAACTATAGGGGTAACCTTAGTCTGCAAATGTATTGCATTCATTTGTATTGTCTTTAGTAGCAGCTAGTTTCAGCACACTACAGGTAAACAATTTAATTGAGTCAAACAGACTAGCTCTATGTCTAGGTAGGTCACCACATACCTCGCAGAAACTAAGCACCTCAAGAGTCCCTTTCTTGTGAAGGCGGCGAAGGAAATCGTTCAGCTCCACCAATCTTGGGGACCCACTTCTCAACTCTCCTATCTGGCAAATTGGCATAATGGATAAGTGGATACGTGCATAAATAGATCTTTATTTCTATAATCCAAAATAGTAAGGGTTCATTTGAATTCCGTAAATTGCTAGGGAAAGGGAAGGTGGGAAACAACCTAATTGGAGTCAATTTATTGCAGTCAGTTTTGCCACTGAAAAAGAAATATATCTACTCCGTAAAATTTTTAAATTACTTGCATATTTTTTGATTTCTTAGTTTTAATGTAAGATAAATAAATGATTTTGATCCAAAAAAAAAAAAAGAAAGAATAGAGTTTGAACAATTGTTTTGTTGCCCCTCATACTTTCTTTCATTCCAAAATTCTCTAATATTTTCATTTCTATTTTTTTCCCTAACATTTTCCGAGTTTCAAACAAACCCTAATGGGAAATTTAGAAGGAAGAGATGTGGGAAAAATAAAAGATTGATGTACTCAGTATATTTATTTTTAATATTAGTACACACTCATTTATTACGAAGTACTTTGTTTTATTTCTATGCATTTTTCCCTTTCCCTAGAATTCTCCCAGATCCAAACATACCCTAAACTTCGGCTGATATAATGTGCAAGGAGTTTCTTTTCTTCTTTTTTGGGCATAAAGTTACTCACACTAGGAGCAGGACGAAACACAAGACCCATACGCCAGGGCATGTCTGCAAGTTTGCTGCCGAAATGGGGACAACTATAGAATACCTGAGGACCCAAAGATCAAAGGGTAAATGAGGGAAATTGTAGCATAAAACACCAGTGTCTCAAAACAAGAAGGCCATATGCTTCATATCTATTTGAGAGAAGATGATGTTACATACAACACCGGCTGTATTATTGACAAGGTCCTCCTTGTTCTCTGCTTTTGCTTGATACAGCATCTGCTTGACAACAAGGCCTCCCATGCTGCCAGGCCAGTCTCCACGCAAACAAAAAAAAAGGGAGACAATGTTTATGTTAGGAGAAGAAGCTTCATTACACTAAACACAGCTCTATCTCTAGGTGGATAAGGGGAAAACTAATGAGAGATTATTTGTTTAACTAAGCAAGAGAACTTTCGTTTTTACGGAGAGGGGGATCAGATGGGGGCCAATCCTATAGTTGGAGGAATGGTGCTGCTTATTTCATTAGCTTATGGGTTTATAGTTTGATTAATCCATTTTCTACAAAGATGGCATATACGATAGATTTTGTATGTCTAGCTAATATAAAAACAATGCTCAAATATAGTCAATTCTTCAAATCATATAACTAGCACAGATTAATCAACTTGGCAAGGTTTTTAATGACTGGACAAACCAAGCCCAACTTGTGCCCAAACAAATTAGTGTTTGTGTTGGTGGTCCACCATACCCTGCCATGGAGAGGGAGAGGGGGAGAGAGGGTGGACTGCAAATAAGAATGAAGTGAATAAAAGTGACCAAGAGAAGGACAGACCAACCTATGAGTCACAAATACAACCGGACGTTTTCCAATCCCAGCTGCAACAAGCTTCTCCAACAGCATGGAGCTTACCTCCTGCAAAATTGATTAATGAACCATGCAAGATCTGTGAACATCAAATACCACAAATATGATATGATGCGCAGTTACACACAGAAGAAGTGCATGAAGCACATGACCACAAGCTGTAGTACTGTGCTAATCCCCCCCCCCCCCACTGAAAAGCCAGATCTAAAAAACTGCAAGAATTTTCTCACTTGAATGCTGTACATAATCAAATGATGTGTTGATATGGACAAACAAACCTGAAGAGGAAGGCTTGCTCCTGACCATTGTGTCAGATTTGTCTGCAGAAAAAAAATGGCAGACGGAAGATATTAGTATATATCTTCACAATTACAACCAGCCATTAATATCCAATACCAAAAACAATCAGTGGATGTAACTCGGTAGTTACAATAGCATGGACCATGAACCTTATATTTGAGAGTATACAGACGAGCAGCAGGGAAATCAGTTGGAAGCCATTCCCCAGGCCAGAATGTTCCTTGCATCCCTGCTTCTTCATCAATTTTCTCTACAAGGCCAGATTTAGTAGAATACTTGTCCTCGGACAACCTCCATGTTTTAAAGGGACCTCCGCGGAGCCCATGAACAAACACCACATCGAATAATGGACTCTCTGGTTGTGAACTCATTGGTTCAGATACAGCGGCTGAGGAGCTATTGCCATTGGAATCTGTGCTTGAAGCTCCCTTCTCAGTATTTAGAGAATCATCACTAGATGTGGAGGATCTAACTATTGAAGTTGGAATTGCACTCGCCATACATTTCCAGTGTGGTTTTTCAGGATTAATTAAAAACACCATATCAGCGTATTGAGGGCACGGATGTGTTTTATTTGTGCTTCCACGAGAGGCATCACAGTCTACCAACTCTTCACTAGTTTGCTCATCAGAAAATACATTCAGCAGTGTTGCCCTGGCATAACTTCGAATTTTGAGGTCATTGCAACCTGGAACCTTTCCTTCAGCACATTCTCCAAGCCATCTACACCAAGCTTTATCGGCAACGATCGATTTCTTTACTTTTGGAAGTACAGAAAGTACAGTTAGTAGCCTGGCTGCATGCCTCCGAATGTGAGCTGTGGGAGGTACGCGAACACTTGATGTGTCACCTGGATTGGAATTAGCAGAAGCTTCACCTGAAACAGATGACAGGTTTTCTGGTGACTCAGGGGCACGTGATGCATCGTAAGCTTCAATTGCAGAAAGCTGTTCATAATCATCTTCTAATAACAGGCGCCGTATCAAACAGAGGACTCCAAAATCAGCTATCTTGTGTAAGCAAACAGAATCTTCTGCAGAGATCTCATTCAAAGCTTTGATTCCTTTCAGAGTGGCCAATGCTGAATCTGCAGCATCAATCTTGGGAACTTTATCTTTCTTAAGGTTCTTAAATGGTCCAACAAAAGGTTCAAGTGACAAAAGATCAGCCAAAGGAAATGTATCATCAGTTTCAGTATCCGCTCCAAGTTGCATTCCTGCTAGGTTAACAACCGCCATAGCCAACTGATTTGCAGTTTGGGTTGCTGAAACTATATTTGCTTGGTCAATTTGTGTCTGCAGAAATTTAAAATTGTGCCATACATTTTAAATTGTGAGTATAAAATCAGTATTATCATTGAGATACACGGATAAAAAGCATCAAACTACAAACCTTCACTTTATCAGTCCTCAGCTCGGCATTCCCTTTCACCAAAGCTGCCTTCCTGTAATTCAAAATATCACTCAGCAAAAGAGTTAACCATCCTTGAGAAATTGCTAACGACGATGGTCCATAATCTTCAAGAATGCACGAAAGGATATTTATTGCCGATGACCGCATTTCATCTGATGAAGATTTTGCAAAAATCCAAGGAAGTAGAATGCCAGACCATTTTTGGCTTTCTTCAACAGACATATGCATTTCCCTAGTATAGAGCAATTCCAGGGCCTTGGCCAATGCTTCTTGCAAGGACACATGCTTTGTTGTCTGTTTAGCAGTCACTCTCATCAAATGGAGACCCTTCTCAACTGCTACTTCCTGCACTTTAGCACTTCTCTTAAGAGCAACTAGAAATGCAGATAAAGCTATGTGAGTCAGAGGGAAGTCCTGAGCTTTGCTTGCTTGGGAAACTATAGAAAGAAGACAGGAACTCCAATCAGAAACATTTTCATTCAATGGTATCTCTTCGTCCTCTAACAACAATCTAGCGATCAGACTTCCATGCCATTTTACAGATCTCTCAGGCGCCATTAAAGCAGCCATGATTGCTTGCCCATCCTGATCCAGTTCCTGGATGTGAGTCCTATTAGCTTCTGATGCCATTGCCCAATTTGCCAATGCCCATGCAGCAAAAGGAACAGCAACTTGCTCAGAGTGCAAGTCATCCCAAAGTCCGGGAACCACAGCCGAAGATAAATTTGACTTTGCGGATTTGTCACTTATTTTGCTAAATAAAAGATTCTTATGTGCGTGTCTGGCTGCCTGACTATCATCAGAATGCCCCATCTCAACAAACCCTTTAGTCCTTGCAAGTCCTAGAACTGTTGTACCTTCAAGAATCTTTATTCCAATACCCTTTACCCCTTTTCCTCCATCGTCGTCTTCTCCATCCTGGTGTGGATCATCCCAGTGCATGCCACCTTCTGCAATAACTTCAATGGCAGCTGCAATATCCCTCATCTCAGCATCTTCCGGCAGAATAGGTTTGAATGATACTTTGTCCGCACTTTGGCAGTGGGATGTGACCACATCCATAATGGCTGCAACCAGCATGCTCCTACCTTTCAAAGAATCAGAAAGACCAAACGAACTACTTCTACCTTTCTGTTCCCAAAAAAATGTGCAATGCATTCATGTCAAAGAAGAGGGGAAATGTTTGCATGAAGAAAAGTGAATGAGTGTAAACACACTAAAAATATCTAATGTCTACATCAAATCCATTGCTTAAACCAATAATTTGGGAAGACATTTCATTTAATACATTCCAAAAAAAAGCTCAAATGAACTCACTCTATTTGATCTTCTCGGCTGAGCAGAGAAAATAAACCTAAGCAAATTAGGTACAGCATGAGGCCTCCCAAAAACAGCCTGACAAACGTTTGGATCGGCAATCAAGTACGCCAAAGCCCTAGCTGACTCGGCCTGAGTGCCTAAATTCTCTCCGTTGGACGACACTGTCTCCAAGAGCCAATCCACTACGGCACCACTCCCAGCACCAACTAATGCCGCTCTACGGCTCTCACTCGCGGCTGCAATGTCAGCCAACAAAGCAGCAACCCTAATCTCAAACCCAACCCTAACCTCATGGTTCGCAGATGACATTAACGACCTCAGCGACTTCCATAGAACCGAAGCAGCCATGCCAGTCTGCTTCATTCGATTCATTGTCTTCGTGAATGAATCCTTCGTTTTCTCAACCACATTTTCAAATTCCCTGTATACACGGCCGGCTGTCTGTTTATACTTACCATCCTCATCATCACGCATCAGAGTTAGAGCGAAGGGAGCAACTACGGCTGAAGCTATGGCTGCCGATAGGGCAATGAATACCGATCGCGATCGTTTACTATGGAATAGTACAGTGGCAGGAGGATATTGAGATGCTGGCAGATGAGGCGCAGGCGGCGAATTCTCAAACTTAATCGGCGTTCCTTCGACGGAATTCGTGGAAACCCTACGCATTGAAGACGAAACAAAGCGACGGAGATTGAATCGCAGCAGATACTGCCGCGTATTCCCGCTGTGAAGACGAAGCATGTTCCAGTTAATTCCGGTGTTATCTCGGGAATTTGCGTTTTTGCTTGCGTTGTTTGGAAATGCAAAGATCGGAATAGAGAGGCGTCATCGAGCAGCAGCCACCTGTACGGGGGTGGTCAGGCGGCAGAGGAGCGGCTCGTTAATGGCGGTGCATAGGTGGGCATAGAAATGTAGAATCATCCGACGACGGAAATATGCAAATGTAAAAGTTCTGGGCAAAAAAACGGGCCTCAAACAGGACGGGGAGGATGGGAACCCAAAAAAATAAAATCAATTACTACCTCTCTCCCGCTATATTCATTCACTTTTGATTTTTGGAGCTATTCATCTAAGCACTTTGACTCATCAAATTCTCTCAATGTCTAAGCCTAAATATAGTCATGCGTGATCTTGTTTGATTTGTCTTGACATATAGATTATTAATATATAATTTCTATAATTTTTTAATATACAAATTACAAGATAAAATGGATTAAAGAAGTGCATTGGATGGTGTGTAAAAATGAAAGTGGACAAATACTCTGGGACGGAGAGAGTATTCATTTCGTCCTTAAAAAAATTTCTTGTTGATCAACATGTAAAACTTCGTAACTTTTATAATGATTTTGTTTATAAATTGAAAAAAAATAAATAAAAAAAATTCATAAAAGTTATCAAGAAATCGTAATAGTAAACATGTAATTCTTTTAGAGACGGAAAAAGTACTACACCGGTCGATTTTGGGTATACTTGTAAAAGTTTTACTTGATAATCACATTATTTTCTTTGGGCCGGTTCAAAGTGAAATCTCATGTGATGACGTTTGTTAGAAACTAGCTTTGAACTATCTCATTTTCAAAATGATAAAAGGTGGATCCTCTAAGATGAGAATAAAAAACATTGAACTAGACTATTATTACTAAAACATTAATTTAATTAATTATATATTTTTATCTGTTATTTTTTAATACTTTTAATTCTTATTTACTTAGGATAATATTACCTTACTCACGTCTAGTTTGGGTTTTTTGGTATTTGCTTAGAAGTGCACATCAATTTAAAAAATGCTAACTAAACATTGTTAATTTGAGAGCCTTTCTAAAATATTAAAGCTAAACACTTAAACAATTGCCAAACAGGCCACTGCTCTAAAATAACGGACAAGGGAGATGCTTAGATCGCCCGACAAGGAGATCAGACACACACTAAACAACGAGAAAGGAAAAAACAATGCTCAACATCTACTACAGAAATCAAGACAAGAATATGACGAACATTACACGACAGAGGGACAACATCAGGAGTCTCACATGTTGCCACAATAGGATTCCAAAACCTTTGTTTTTCAATTCAATTCCAATTCGTGATGATGTCTACTTCGACAAAGGGACATCATCAGAATTTCATCCAATTCAATTCCATAGAAATTCAATTCCAATTCCGTGTAACAAACGCATGAATTCCAAAACCAACAAATACACTTGGTTTGAATCAAAAGCAATCCCACATATATAATGAGTAGCAAGAAGACTTGTAACCCAATCCAATAAACCACCCTCACCCACACCATCTAAAAAAAATAAAGATTGATGAAGCAATACATTGGATTGGGAATTTGGGACGTCAGCTGCAGATGCAAAATCCTCTTTAGTTAGTTTGTCTTTCAGATGAATGGCATTTTACAACATCTTCACATCTTGATGATATGCTTTTACCCCTGGGTGAAGGATATGTAAGTTCCCTTGCAATGGCAACTTCCTCAAACTACACTTACCACTCCCGACATCCACGGAACAATTAATGGAGCTTTTGGATGGGCATTTCTGTAAGACTCAGAATAACGGTCCTTAAAGCTCAACCTTGGTTTCTCTGACTGCATTTGCAAATGAGGGAAAAAAAGGTCAGAAATAGCTTACATTAGCTTGCATTTGGTTATCGAACAATTGTTTCACCAAACCAAACACTAAATAAGATGCTTTAAAGAAACTAGGAAAAGAGCTTACATATTTCAACCAGCATTCTTGATGTTTGTGTTCATAAATATCAGGGGAGTAGCAACCGGTTTCGGATGGGCAATAAACCCATATGTTGCATATCTTGTCACCCGGTTTGGCATGTTTGGCCTGATCCAAACAAGCCATACAACAATCGTAAGCAGATTCTTTGTGGTGGGTAAGACCCCATCTGACAGCATCACCACCATAGTCTGTGTGAAGTTCAGCATGGCATTCAGGAGGAAGCCGTTTGCCAGCTATAATTTCATTTTCTGATGAACAAATTTCCCTCTCATTAATGAAAGAATGAATAAATGAATGAAGCACTGCATAATATTCTAAGGGTCTGTTTGGAACGGATGGACCCATAATATGTGGAGAAATTCCAAAGTTAAAGGGAAAATATAGTTAAACTTGAACATCTGTCGCAAGGATGAAAATCATTACCAAATTCCTCTCCTTCGGGCTTGTCATCGCGTTCCTTATTAATGACCTCAACAGGGATCCAAAGACCGATTTCCTCTAATAGCTCATCCCAATTGACATGCAAAGCTCTTGCAAGCACACCTAGCAAATAGAGAAATACCTTTAGGTAAGTACTTATACCCCAAAAAAGGCCCAAATTTGATAATGTCAAAGGGAATCTGCAAGATACATGATTTCAAAGGTGACCATAAGGGCATGTTTGGTGAGTTCTATGAATGAAATTACTAAATCTGCGGAGTTAGCCGGTTAAGCAACCAAATGGAGCCTCAATCACATTCAAATGAATGTGCAAAATACACAGTCAACATTAAAGGACAGAAAAAGTACTCGCTTCTTCTGGCACAAGGTTTGTGGTTGATGCTTTCCCAAGAATGACTTCATTGGCTTCTTTGAGCTTTGCCGTGCGCCAACTTTCAACAGCCTCTGTGCACCCATAGAATCAAGGTGACCAAATTCATAAATGAGCGTACAATTTAAATATTTTGAACAATTGATAGAAACACCATCCGAGCATTACTATATGAAGCTCGTTCTTACACAGGAAAAAACAAATGAGGAGAACAAAAAAAGTAGTAAGTTAAAAGGACCTGAAAAGTGGTTTTAAATAGAAATAGCATAGGAGAATGTTACACAAACAGCAGAACCCTTTTACCCCCCACTCCCCCAAAGAAACATTTCAAATATCTGTGGTTTTCAAATGCTAAGTGCTTTTTTATGCATTCATTCACTCCACTGTACATTAAGATATTGTACCTCAATAGGACTAGACACTCCCTATGTCCGGATCTAGTTAACCACTTTCATATTTAAGGAGTGATAGTGGAATATCAAACAAGCCCTTTAAATGGGTTTATCATTCATTGATGTTAGCAATGCTAATATTCTATCTAGACAGTATTTTAGACAATCCACAATAATTTGTTTACGAAATATGAAGTTGATATTTAACTTCGAAGCACAGAAATGGGAATGTTAACAACTAAATTCGGTCAGAGGGGGTATTATGCAAAGTTGGTTAATTTATTCAAATCCATTCAGATAAACATATGGGCATAATTTTCAGAAAACAACAATCGAAAAACGTCCCGCAACTGTGGTCTGGAAATGGTAGGTGTAAGCAAACCTTCCTCCTACCTAAAAGGAAGGCATAACTTTTCAAATTGAAAAAATTAAGTCTTTGTGGGCTAAAAATAGAGCCTTTAAAAATTAACTAGATATGTGCAGCCTAATAAGCTAATGCAAAAAGAACCATTATCCACATTGCTGAAAAATCAAGAGACAACAATGTTTTAATCCCAAGATTGACATGCTACACTTATCCATCATTAAAAAAATCAATAGGAAAATATGCAAAATAGATTTCCACAAGATCACAAGATCGTTTAGATTGTGCTATGGAAAATCTAGTGGTTTGGATATGACAGTTCCTCTCTTCTTATCCAAGAACAAATTTTTCACCATTTTCATTCCCCTCCTTTTTCTATCCCCTCATTTTTTACTCAATCAAACACTATGTTAGTGCGTGGTCTGTGTTCAATCCAAAACTTAGCATAAAGCAACCTCATTTTAATTGCATTCAACAATTGTAAAGTAAGAAACAAAATATAGCCATTGATTCAGCACAAAGATGCTTCATTTTAATTGCTAAAACACAGCACCGCATATCAAGACGTTTAGATATGTGGGATTAGAAGTACACACTCACCTCTCTGCAAAGTTGCATTCGTAATGTCATCCAACCCTCTTAAAATTGATAGTATCTCATCTGTTATCTTTAGTTTCAAGGGCTTGGGAACTTCCACAACCTTTTCTTCTGTTAAAAATTCCTTCTTTAAATGGCTTACCTTCAGAGGAAGACAAAGTTAGCAGCTTTCATCAAGAAATAGCCCCCAAGAGAGGAAAAAAACTTGATATAACCCTAAACAAATACCACCACCATAATACATATGACAAAATCACAAATCTTACCAATTTAATAAGCTCTGTGGGTTCTGATGCCTTTCTTATTCGAGTAGATTCTTCCATTTTCCTAATCTGATCTGGGCTATAACTAAAAGCTGCAAATAGCAATGGATAGGAAGAGAAAACGCACAAATCAAACAACCCAGAAAAGAAAACCCCTCAGAAAATGAGAAAGAGAGACAGAAAGAGAAAGAAAGATACAAGTTTGGGAATCATTGTAGGGGTAGATGTAGAGAGAATTGAAGAGAGAGTGAAGAACATAGAGAGCAACAGCGAGGTTGATTGAGCAGAGGATGATTGTTGTTCTCTTGTAAGAACACTTCCATCTCCCTCTAACAACACCCCACTCTCCTCTTGCCATCTCCCTCCTCCTCCCTCAGCTCAATCGCCTCCATCTCATCATCTCTATCTCTGCAATCTCTCCCCCGTTTTCCGTCTCTCTATGTATCAATCAAAACATACACACACTAGTAGGGAACAAGAATGAATGAATGAATGAATGCACAAATACTCCCGAATAGATTTGAACATTCGATATCGGAGATGGATTTGCAGTGGAGCAAAATTTGTTCCTTTTTTTCTTTCTTTCTTTCTTTTTTTGTTTTGTTTTTTTCTCTTTTTATTAAAAGCAAGGAAAATACTGAGTACGAAACAAGACACTGCCTGGGATAATAAAGCCAGAATGTCAAACACTAGTTAGCGTTTGAGACTTTTAAAACGTCTTTGGAAATAGCTATAGATATTAGAGTTAACATTTTGAAATGACTATCTATGGATAACGTTTTCAAAATTAATCTGCACGGTTAAAATTTTATAAAAAAACGTAAATGTTAATCCCTAAAAGACCCTTAATTGATCTTTTTATTTGGGTTCGATTCTTGAGGATTATAAGTCGATCATGTTGTCTTTTGCTTCCATTTCTTTTGTTATCATTCGTAGATCATTGAATATGGGAACTCATACTCTCGCTAGAAATGCTATGGATGCTCCGGGGGCGTAAAAATTATCCTTGCCTGATTTTGTTGTACCGTTCATTGGATTTGAAATGAAAAAAATTGTTTTACGTCAAAAAAAAAAAATTAGAATGTGCATAGTGTATTCGGCTTAGCACTTAGGAGTACCTAAAGTAGACTTCTTTCGCTCAATAAAATATTCAATTCAACTGTGTACATTCTTAAATTTGTTTCACATAATGTTTATTCTAAAACAATGTAGTGTTTATTTTAAATTTTTTTAAACTATAAGTTTGTCATGATGTACTAAGAAGTAGATCCTATATCTGAGTGTACCATATAAGAAATTAGGGAAAAAGAAAAGAAATGGGGTTTTTTATATTCCTCACTAAAAGAGATTGAAATAAAAAGATTTTTGTTTTTCCTCTTTTTAGTTTATTTTGTCTTTTCATTTTCTTTTTTTCTTTTTCTCTTTAACGAAACAAAAAAAATTGTTTCCATCTTATTTTCTTTTCTTTTCCTTTTCAAACTTGTTGAACTAAACGTAGTGTTAAGGAACTAAAAGATAATCCGTAAAGGAAAAAAATGAGGGAGAATACAAATTTTATTGTTGGTTAGAGAGAAAAAGAAAAGAAAGATGAAAAAATAAAGAAAAGAAATTGCAGAGCAAGAACAATGATTTGCCTCGATGAAGAAAATGACTCTTCCTTGGAATACTGCAACCAAAAGAAAGTATTAAAGTTGAGAAGTATTAATGTCCATATATTCATAACTTTCACAGGTTTGAGGTGGAATGCTATTATATATTCATCATAAATAAATACGGAGTACTTTCTTTAAGTCGTTCTTGGAAGAAACTGGAAATAATTGAAAGAAACTAGAAAAAATTCAAAGTTAATTCTTCCAACCCAAAAGAGCAAGACTTAAATGTCAAACATAACTGCATTCCAAGCAGGCCATGTAAGTTTGATAATATAAATTACAAAATGGATTTTAATACAATTAGTTTTACCCTTTTTATGTAGGCTAATCTTGATCTAAGAGCATTCATGGCACCATGCAAATCCATTTGAGATGCTAGACATATCCATTCTTCCGGCCAGTAACTAGACCAAGCTAGTTACCACTTGAGGAGATGTTGGCATTCCATCCCACATCAGATTAAACAGTATTTATTGGCTTAACCTTTTGGTTAGAAAGTGAATTCAGACTTTATATAAAAAAGTGGTCAAATTGTACCCTACACAGCACCCAGTTCACTCGACCCACATGAAGTACAACAATGCTTCTTCAGAATATTCAACCAAAGAGTGCCATTGCTCTTTGAGAGTTGGAAAAACTCCATTACTCCTACTTATGACTAGACACAATTTCAGTTCAGAACTGACACCAGAACTGGAAATCGACAATTTCGGAACCAAAACTAGAACCGTCTGGAACCGTGGGAAAATGTTCTAATTTCGGCTCTTAGTTTTTTATATCGGAACCGGAACGGCTATGGACCGGGAACATGTTTGATATTTTTGTATTTTATCTCTTTTATGCTTCTTTTTAATTTTGTTTGAGACCGATTCATAATATTTGCTACCAAGAAAATTGTTTGGAGTCAATTATATAATTTTGCCAAAAATTTTATTTAAAAAAATATATTTGGAATCGGTTCGGAACTGGAACCGCTACAGAACTGGAACCACCCAAAACCGTCCCTACAAAGTACATGATCTGGTTCCCCTAAAACCAGAATCGAAACAGTATCGTGTCTAGTCCTACTCCTCGTCTCTCCCTCCCTCGTAAATTTAAACTCAAACTCTAACACATTTTTTTTCAGGCCTAGCACATTTTACTATTGAGAGTTGTTGAGTAAGTGCAATTGGGTTGGGTCTCTTAATTACCTTTTCTTGAACTTATTATCTTCACAATTTTCCAGACAAAGCTTTGGGTATATGCCCGTACTAAGACTTTGTGTGTATGGGGAGCGTGAGAAGAGCTGAGGCTTGATCACCCTTTATCACGCCCATCTTCCATGACACATTAGATGCGAAGGGGCATTGCCCTAATTTATATGACCACCCTTACACAACGATGACTTCTCTTTTTGTAATTATTAATTTTTTTATATTACGACTAAACCAACTTATATAGTATCTGGTGGTATCGAATTGGCCCAATGTATTAAATTAAGAATCGACTTAACTGTAATAAGTTAGTTATCACCAAGTTGGGACCTTGATGTTTTACTTCTTACGTCTCAATTTAAGTTATCTATTTGTTATCGGCAAAAATTTTAACTACTACCATTGCTATTTTTTTACTCATTCAATAAAATAATATAGTTATGTTATCTCTTATTTATATAGAACTTTAATATATCTAAAAATATTATAGTCGATACTAAAAATAGGAAAAATGATATTTATGCTCCACTTCTTGTAATTGTCATCCCAAAGTGTACTATGTATACAAGAAAGCTAGGTAAATACTACTCCTTCCGTGCTCTTAATGTTTTCTTATTTTGACTTTTAGCAGTTTGTAAGGGGAGTATGAAAATGGTGAAAGTTTACCAGAATATCCTGAATGAAAATGGGTAAAGTATATTAAATAAAGTAGATAGTGTAATAATAAAATAAGTGAAATAGTTGTGATGTTTTAAATATAACAAAGATAATGGGAAGATTCATTGTGAACAAATAAAAAGGACTAAATATAAATTTAGAGTGACAATAAAAATTTGGAGTGTTAAATATAATTTTTCAAAAAATAGGAGGGAAAGTATATTTTCAAAAAAACGTAGTTTGCATTCCAACGGTCGGCTCTTGCTAGTTTTAAAGCATTCTCCGTATAACGATAGTCTCTCATTCCAGCAGTGAAGAAATGGCGCCGTCAATGGTCAAGTACGAGGAGCTACGGCGGCAGAGGGTGGAGGAGAACAAGCGGCGGATGGAAGAGCTCTGCCTTCCTCTCCTCTCTCAGGCCCTCAAAACCGCGCACTCTCCCAAACCCTCCCCTGTATGCACAAACAACCCCTAACCCCTCCCTTCCGTTTTCTTTATCAATTTCCTTTTTGCCTGATTAATGTGAGATTCCGGCGACTGTACAGATGAAGAAAGCAAAGCCACGCGCCGCCAGGACAGAGCTTGTCCAGGTTCGCCGGTCTTTGCGCTCCACCAAAACAGCCGCTCCTGTGTACAAAGAAGTACTAATTAATTCTCTTGGTTCTTTGTATTAACAGCTATTACTTAGTTTGCTTTAAGCACTAATTAATCTTTTCGTTAGTTTATTGACTCTAATTCATCCGGATTGAACTGCAGGTGACTTATTACGAGCGAGTTCTACCAAGGAGGTAAGGTGTTCGATGAAAGTCCTGAATGAAACTTGCCATCTTTCTGCATGTTTGCCTGTATTTTTGAACTGCTATCCATCTTATTCCTTGTAGAGCTTCGTGTCCGCGGAGGGATATCTTACACAGGGTATATGCATCAGATGAAGGAAGGGCAGCTGCTGTTGAGAAAGCAGAGAAATTGGAGGCCAGTCTTGAATCCGAATACCCGAGTTTTGTTAGACCAATGCTTCCATCCCATGTCAGTGGTGGTTTTTGGTTGGTGAGAATCTTTCTCTTTAGAGCCAGAAGTTGTGCTAACTTGTTCTTTATTTACTCCTGTGTGATAAGAGTTCCGGTGCCTGTGATGCAGGGACTTCCAGCATACTTCTGCAGGAGGAACCTTCCGGCGCGAGATGAAACAGTGACATTGGTAGACGAGGCAGGAGAAGTGTGGCCGACTGTATATTTGTCAAGAAAAACAGGACTCAGTGGAGGATGGAAGAAGTTTGCAGTTGATCATGACTTGGTTGATGGTGATGCACTGGTATTTCAGTTGATACAACGTGCCATATTGAAGGTGATGCTTGGGTTCTTATATCATTACCTTTATATGGGAAAACATTAGTTTTTATTGTTGTGTGAAAGAAGCACAGAATGTAACATTGTTATGTTCAATTTATAGGTATACATAACAAGGGTCAATAATTTGGAAGAAAAGGATGACATAGAGACCTCAAAGGACTCTAGTACATAGTAGTATACTAGTATTCAGGTATGAAGTTGCAGCATTACTAAGGTTGTTGAAAGCCAAGAAATGTTATGTCTTGCTATAAAACACATGCATTCCTTGTCAGCCAATTTCAAAAAACATGTTTTGTTGAATACGCCATAGAGATTCCAAAATTGACAATATATGATGATCAAAAGTGAGAATGAACTCCATATATTGGTACTGAGCCAATTTTACTGCACATATGATGCATGTAAATGCAAGTTTGTAACACTATGTTTGGTTCAAGAAATTTGAAAGGGAAAAGAAAAGAAAAAAAAGTGGAAACCACCTTTTCTTGTTAGGTTAGAGAGGAAAAGAAAGGAAAAATAGAAGGAAAAGAAAATGAGAAAGCAAACATAGTGTAAAAGAACAACCAAATAGTGTTTCGCCAGGTTGAAAGGTTAATACTTTCTCTATTGTAGCAACAGATATACATTTGGTGTGAAAATTTTATTTCTCATTTCTAAATAAACCATAACTACACAATTTCTTTTTCTTAATATGCATGCCAAGTCAAAATGAGAATGAATTTCATCAAGAAAATCATTGTTGTTGATTTGTAAATTATTGTTAACACGAGACATTACAATCATACTGAGTACTCAAAACGAACATGCTGGTGGTCTGATATTAACGTCTCTTGTCTGGTATGCGAATTACCTCTACCCCAAAATATTTGTTCAGTTTGGATTTTTTGAGTCAAACCGAACAACCTTTAAGAATCAATTACATTAAATTTGTGTTGTATATTACTACAACAAAATAATTTTTTTTTCAAGTTTTCTATAAGATGAATCTAATTATTCTTTTTTGTACTAATATACAATACAAATTTTAGTTCCTATTTAATTAGGGATAAATGTTTGCCTAGTTTAATAAACATAAATGAGTAACATAAATTGTGGGTTTTGCAGGAAAGGGTGTAAGCTGTGCTGTAGGGTGGTTGTATGTTGACTATATTGGCAAAGAATGGTCACTGACAGCCAATGCCACAACGTCAAACCAGGGAACATTAATCTTCACTTCTTGGTACAAGAAGAAGACCGAGCTTATTAATTACGTAGTACGGAGTGCTAAAAATAGCCTGCAGGGGAGTATATAATGTATCTCTTTCGGTATTTTGATATTAAAAAAACATGTTCTTAATTGCCCATATTTGCAATAGTGGATTACATGAGATGACATGTTTCCCAAAAAAAGAAAAGGTAGAATGCCCACCCCGAGTGTCCTCACACTCCGGATTTTGAGGGACATAAATCATGGTACAAACTCAATTTCTTAGAGAGATTGCCCCGTGTCCAGTGTGCATAAAAATTATTACAAATAATAAAACTCTCACACGCTGCTGTTGGGATTCGATTTTAAGATCAATGAGTTTGACATCTTCTCTTTGTACTAGTTGAGCTACCCATGCTGGCGCATGTGTAGCTCATTAGGATCAACCATGCTACAATTACGCCAATAAGTGTATCCCAAAGTTACAATAAAGATATACACTGACATTTTTATGGCTCACACTAGCACTAAATGCAAATGTGATTAAAAAGATTTGCACCAATATTTTGTGCATGTGTGAATAATCATCCTAGCATCACACCTGCACAAAATGAAAGTGTACATTTTAGTGTATAATTTGGGGTACAAATTTTGGGATACTTGTGCCGGGAGAATCTGATCATTTTAACGCTACTTTGATACTTCCTCTCATATTTTTCAGACAGACAGAGACAAGAAGGGCACATATTAGTAGTTAGTACAACACAATTGTTGTTTGTGAGAATTTAATATGGTGTCAAAGTGCTCCCTGTCCGGGTTCATGCATTATACTTTGCATTAAAGAAATACCGAGTAATAATCTTATGTTAGGCTCTAGTAATATTCAATAATTTATTGCGGAGTACGTTTATTGCGTAAAACGCAAGACCTAATATGCATTTGAATATCTTAAAAAAAAGAAAAAAATAGTCGTTTATGTGTTTTTCTATAACTCTCTTTTTCCCTAATGTTTTTATGAATACTCTGTTTATAAATACGGAGTATATTGGAAATATTTTTGACACAAATTATAAATTAGTTCTTGAGTTTTAGGATTAATCGATTCTAAATTTGATACTTCAGAAATATTTTTACACGACTATGAAATACGGAGAATAGTTTGGACAAAAAATTGTTTTACCACACTGGAAATGCTTCCCTAGATCAAACTATTTAAAAAGTCACTGAATTCAATACCAATAAATAATGGATGAGTTAAAAAATATTACAAGTACTTCCTTTTATATGGTCTTCGTTCGGAGACGTTAACCCAAACTCTCGCCAACGCGACTTCTCTTTGTAGCGTCCACATTTTGTTTGTGCCTCTTCTTTTTGGGTATGTAGGACCTTTTTTTTCCTTTCCGTGCCTTGACCCTTCAGATTGCGTTTCAATTACTACATTATCTGTATTTTTCAATATCATATGCTTGAGATTGAAATAATTGTGGCAGCGAGGTGGGGGCACAATAGGGTTGGTAGGAGGGTGGCGACGAGGTGGGGTTGTACTGCATTTTGACGTATGTTGTGGAGGGAATTAGTACGCTAGGGGAATTCGGCCTGTTTGCCAATTGCCGAAACCAGCTTGATTGAAATTGCCGGTCAAATTGTCGTATGATTAAAACCTTGACTGATTTGATTGATTTGGATTCATTTTAGTAAATTTAAATAAGAGTAGAAAATCTAAATCTAAATATGAAAAAAATGAGTTGAAATAATGGTGTTGTGGAAATTGATGAAAGTTTGGGATAGAAGTTGTTTAAATAGAGAAAATAATGTATTTATTTACTTTGCATTTTGAACTAAGCAACAGTCTTCATATAAAAAAATTGCTCTATATTTATTTTTTAGTTTAACCTGACAATTAAAAAAATAATACTCCGTAAAAGGGAATATTAGATTGGCGAGGTTGAGATATTATTCCTTCATATGTTCAATACCGAACGAGAGAGCGGTGTTCTCGTCAGTTGTGCGTATCAAGAGGCACGCCGAGGGCCACACAGTGGGGCCTAAGGAAGGTCCACTCGAGAGACTGACCAACGAGTCTCAAATTTAAAGAAAAACTTAAGTGTACACCAAGAATACCAATTTGTCTATTCACCTCCAAAATTAATTAGAGCAATGTTAGGGGTATACCAAAGGTGTATCCCAAATGTACACCACCTCCTTTTTTACCACCCATTTTTATTCAATTTTTTTTGAATTTTTTACCAATTTATGTAGGTAAAGAGGGGATTAGGGACATATGGGATACACCAAAAGTCTACCATGACATTTTTCAATTATTTATTGTTTCCTAATTCAATTATCGAAACCCCATTTTTCTCCTAAGCCAAACAGGAAACTACAGCAATAACAAGAAGGGTTGAAGACTTGAAGGGGTCTAAAATCTTAATGACATCTTGACGAAGCACGCACTATCTTTTTCCCTCCCCTCCCTTTTTCCAGCGCAACGAAGAAAGAGCACCGAAGAAGAAGAAGAAGAAGAAGAACAATGGAATTGTTTAGTCGGCGGGATCCGCGTCTTCTTGATGACTACACCTTCCTCCTCTCACCTGCCTGATCCCCTTCCTTTCATTCCCTTTTTACTCCCAATAGATTTCGTGCGTTTCTTCTCCAGTATCCTCTCACAAACCAATTTCAGATTTTTCCCACCACCATTTTCTTGAAATTCTGAAAGCTGTTTTCCAGGTCTTCCTTGGATTCTCAGATATTCCCGCGGATAAAAAAGATCTGGGTCTTCTTGATTTCCGGTAAAATTGTCAAATTTTCATCTGAATGTCATCTGGGTGTTTATAGTTGATCGATGAGCAAGATTAATGTTATCAGTCTTTTCAAAACATTGTTTTTTTGCGTGTGAATTTCGTACAGGTTCGCATTGGGGTTTGAAGATTGAATTGTGGGGTGAAATTTTGCGTTTTTTTTTCTCTCCGGGAGAAAAAGGTGAGAATTTGACTTAACCATGTTACCTAAAGATCAGCATCAGTCGACCCCATTGTCTGTGTTGTTGAAGCGTGAATTAGCATCTGAGAAGATCGAAAAGCCTGAAATTTTTCATGGTCAAGCCAGCCAGAGCAGGAAAGGAGAAGACTTTACCCTTCTCAAGACTGAATGCGAAAGGGTTCTTGGAGATGGGGTTACCACCTATTCCGTTTTTGGGGTATGATGATCCGCCATTGACTTCTTCAAATTTTATTTCTTTGTGACAGGCGAATCGAGAAGGAGAAGATTCATATATTTGTATTTAAATTCCACATCAGATTTAGATTGCACCTTTAAAGTAGGCCAAACAGAATTGTTCTCCATCTCTTGCAATTAGAATGAATTTTACGCAACTGTTGCAGTTATTTGATGGACATAATGGGTCAGCAGCTGCTATATACTCCAAAGAAAATCTATTCAATAACATTTTGAGAGCAATCCCATCAAACCTCAACAGAGATGAATGGGTTTCTGCGTTGCCAAGGGCTTTGGTTTCTGGGTTCGTGAAAACAGATAAAGATTTCCAAGAAAGAGGTAACCGGTTTGCACTATTGCTGTTATATATATATATTAGGATCATTAGTTGTTGATGATAAACAATTAATACAAATGGTTTTGTTTTGCAATATTTCAGGGCAAATATCAGGGACAACAGCCACCTTTGTTATAATTGAAGGATGGGTTGTAACGGTTGCATCCGTTGGTGATTCTCGGTGTGTTCTTGAATCAGCCGAAGGGGAGATATATTATCTTTCAGCAGAGCACAGACTTGAATGCAACATAGAGGAGTAAGAAATGTCATCCTGTTTTGTTACATCAGATCACTTCACCCTCCAAAGATTGTTGTTTTGATATCTTAACTGTGTAACTAGGAGAGAACGCATTATAGCAAGTGGAGGACAGGTTGGCCGGCTCAATACCGGTGGTGGGACAGAGGTATATTTCCCTACTCCAAACTCCAATCACTCTGAAGTGTTAGGATAATATAGTAATTACATCACCGCCCTCATGCCCTAGTCATGCCTTCCATGTGTTTCAAGACAATGGGAGAGAACTTATAGTCAGCATTTGCTTTCATTTCAGATCGGTCCTTTGAGATGTTGGCCTGGTGGGTTATGCCTCTCAAGATCCATTGGAGATACAGATATTGGTGAATTCATTGTTCCTGTCCCTTATGTAAAACAAGTAAAGGTTGGCATTTATTCTTCTGCCCTTGCATAAGATTTTAAGTTGTGTACTAAACAATAGATTTTTTAAGGATTCTTGATTGAGTGTTAGGCGCTTGTTTTTGGCTTATTAGCCAAAATTTTCACCAAACACTTAGTCCATGCTGAATATAATCAGCCGATAATGAAGAAAATAGTACAAACGTTACCCTTATGGTCGAAATCAATGAAAATGGCACTTCGACCTTCATTTGTAGATATTATTTCCTTTAATTTATTTAAAAATATGTGTTTGCTAAATATTTTGGATAGTTCTACAGATTCAACTGCTTAACCTTATTAATCCTTACCAAATGGGCTCCCCAACTTGTTCTTACTGATCAAGAACTTTATCATAGTCGTCATCACATACTAATTGTATTAAAAAAAACATCTTTCACATTGAAGAATATACTGTCCTACTTTCTCTTTGTCGAGTAGATATATATTCGTTTTGTTTTTACTATTATTATTATGCTTTTTCACAGCTCTCTTCAGCGGGTGGGAGGCTTATTATAGCAAGTGACGGTGTCTGGGATGCCTTAACCACTGAAACAGCTTTTGAATGTTGTCGCGGGATGCCACCAGAGACTGCTGCCTCACAAATTGTTAAAGTGAGTTTTTTTTCCTCGACTCCAATTTAATTTTCTTTGACGATTTGGCTAGTGGGTTTAATATAGTCCACTCCTCCCTCCCATTCTAAAGGAAGCCATAGAACCTAAAGGTCTACGAGACGACACGACCTGCATTGTGATTGATATACTACCCGTAGAGAAGCCGAGCCCACCAATGGCACAGCCCAAAAAGAATGGAAAAGGAGTGTTCAAGGTCATGTTTGGCAAAAAGAATCGCGAATCGTCTTCAGAAGCAGAGAGAGATTCTTTCCAAATGGATGTTGTTGAGGAACTGTTTGAGGAAGGGTCAGCTTTACTTGCAGAAAGGTGTTGTTGTTTATAAGATGCATATATTTGTTTAATGTTTTTCTAGCTCTAATATATGAATATGGTGTGGATGATTTAAAAGATGATTTGCGGGTGGAATGAATGCAGGTTTGATATGAGATATCCGGTTTGTAATATGTTCAAGCTGTTCGTTTGTGCGGTGTGTCAAGCGGAGATAAAACCCGGAGAGGGTATTTCGGTAAATGCATCAGGATCCGGAGATTCAAGAAAGCGGAGGCCGTGGGATGGTCCTTTCCTCTGCCTGAGCTGCCAAGAGAAGAGAGAGGCAATGGAAGGGAGATAATGACCAAATCTGCCCCCCCAAGGAATGGAAGAGATAGTGAACTTGGCTTTCATTCTAACATTCCATGGCAGTTCTCTCCTCCATTTTAAGCCCTCATGCTTTTGGAGGACCATGGCAAATACTTACACTACATAATAGCTCCAATAGAAACTTGAGACTTTATTATTATTATTATTATTATTATTATTTAGAAAGTGTATTAGGAGATTCATTTTTTTTCAACACTTTAGATTATATTAATGAAAAAAGAAGTATTGACACTACAGCACAAAGATGGGTAATAGGTACAACGCTGTTGCCTTTAGAATTGGGTTATGTTTGATACGATATAATGTTACGAATACAAAGAAGATGTACTAATGTAATCTTCACTGCAATGCTTTGATATCTTAAATTTTTATGTACTTTGTCCTTTAATAAGAGCATCTTCAACCTTGTTTATTATATTGGCTTGCCATTTTTATATTTTAACAAGTTAATAGTGATATAGCAAGTGATATTTTGTTTCATTCTCCAACCATGGCTTGCTAATCCATTCTACAACACTTGACTTCCTATAATTTGGAGAGCTTGTTATATTTAGCAAGCAAAAGTCTTTTTTTTTTGACAAGCTTGCTAAAATTTAACACACCCATTGGAGAAGAGAAAAATGGGTTGACTTGCTATATTATGGCTTTTAGCAAGCCAAAGTAGGATGGTGGGAGATGCTCTAAGTTGCCTCATTTCACTTTTATGGTCTACAGACCTGTATCAAAGATAAGTACTATTTAGATTTTAGAATCTAGTAGTTTTTATCTAAAATTTGAAACCTAGATATTAAAGTCTTGATACAGTAATAACTTTGATCAAAATTTGAATGTTGAAGCCTGGTAAATGGAGTTTAGGGATCAGAGCTGGCCCCGAAAAATGAAAAAATAAAACTGGCTCGGTCCAAAACTTACATTATGGGCCTTATTTTACTTTTTTAGAATACTTATGCTTTAAAATTAATGACAAATTTAAAAAGGGCTTGGTTTCCATGACATTGGAAAGTCAAGGGATGACCTGAGGGTGCTCCGGTGCCCAGTTCGTAAAATTGACAGTTCCTACATCCTAACCCTCCCGGTGAACCCTCATCCCGCCTCGATCTAAACACATTCTTCACCTCCTTCAATTGCGCCTCCAAGTTAATTTTGAGTTTGGAGTCAAAATTCGATTGAGATTATCGAAAACTTTAGATGAGATAGAGCTATCAATTTTAGCACCGTTGCAAAGTGGCCAATTGTAAGGGTACACAAAGACAAATGGAGAAAGTAGAGCAAACTTTCCCCATATTTCGTCTCCGTAAATTATGGGGCGTTGAGAGGATACAATAATTACCGGACCCAATGGAAAAATAACCATATAATAATGTCTCCATGATTGACATATATGTAAAAAAAAGAAGAAAGAAACACAGCATATATATAGATCAGATCAGATGGCGACCTTAAAACCCAAACAAAGCTTCTCTGTTATATGAGACCACATTATATCCTGGTGTGCAAAATGTCAAAAGTTCTATCCTTACAACTATTTATCGATGGATATATATATATATATATATTAATATATATATATATATATATATATATATATATATATATATATATATATATAACTAGTAACAAAAAAACAAAATTGTTCTTCAAATAAAATACCCCTACGATTTATACTATCACCTCAACAGAAACGGAGTACTATATTTGGCAGTAGTATTTTGGATAAAATTTGATGAAATTTATATATTTGATAGACTAATAAAGTAGATAAAATTTGAGCGTGTGAATAATCAAGGAGATTATAATTTTAGAAATTAGAGGAAATACTAAAACGAAATGATAAAATTGTTGGAAAACAGAGACATGCTAAATTAGTAATCTCCAATATTAGAGAGTGATTTATCTGGACAGGCATAGAGAATTAGAGATCTATACCTATTTCACAGTTTACAATGTTTTTTGTTTCTTTTGCAAGTGATTATTATTATTGGATGAAAAAAGGCACACAGTGGACTGCACACCCACACAGTGATATGTACGTGCAAACAAAGGATGGAGACAAAAGAAGGGGTCGGACGTAGGGAGAGATGTCGAGTTCGAAGTAACTATCCGAACTAACTGTCCCCTCAGCTAACTGTTCGGCTGGTGCTGAAGAATGCTCGGGAGAGTGCCATCCTTTTTTGAATTGGGTAACCAAAACTCGATACAAGCGCAAACATTTGTAGTAGTCGCGTGAATTTGAACATGTATGATGTCTTGATGACCTTTTCGATTCCTCCTCCACACGTACAAAAATTTCATTAAAAAAAACCATTTCAACAAGTTTACATAAAAAATTTTAGAAAGCTATAAACATCCTAAAAACCTTATTTTTACAAATGATAGACCAAAGTAATTCTCATTTTTTTCATGAAAAAATCAAGTAGACATATGAATACAAAGTAATGACTAGCTAGAAAATGCTCGCTTAACACGCACCAATTCAACTTCATCATTTTGAGAAAGAAATCTTTTTAAACATGAGTAAATCATAACCAAAACATGACTCACTTAATTTCATCATCTAAATAAGAGTGTAACTAGCAGTGCTACTGGGACGATTATAGGCAACTCGGGATTGAACAACTTTTTTTTTTTGGATTTTTGGGAGTTCTAATAAATGAAATTACCAATTGATACGAATATCGTATCGGATAGGAAAAAACTTCTAGCGTAGTTGGGTACCCTAGTTGACTTAATGGACACACACGCAGTAGGGTACACTAATTGACTTAATGGACCGTACTTGGGCCCATATTAAAACTAAAAGCCCTATGACAGTGCAAGCTCTTGTTTTGTTTTTAAAAACTTAGAAATCATATTTTAGTACTTTGTATACTATTTTCATACTCCTTTTGTCACAACTTAAGTTGCATGTTTCTGTTTGTTTGACTGAAATTATTTTCAATTTATCTTATATACAATTGGTGTGAAATTTGTGATTTTACATTAATACTCTAAATTGAATAATTTACACTGCTGCTCCCAAAAATAGTTTAATTTTAAAGTATATATTTTATAATCAAAATTATATTTGTTGGAAAGATCTTTAAAATTTAAATTTTGGAGTACATCAACTTTAAAATTCTCTAATTTTTCATGTGAAGTACTATTCATAATTTATCCGATTAAAATATAAACACGCTATTTTTTAATTTTAACACATTTTTATTTCAAATCAACATGGAGGGGGGTAATTGTAACGCATTCAAGGTATTTTATTTATGTTTGTAATTAATTATCAACTCATACTTAATAATTATCCAGTTACCATTTAAAATGTCACGTATTTAGCTTAGTTGGCAGCCTGGAGTATTGGTGTAAAAATGAATATTTTCTTGAAGCAGTGGTGTATATTATTTAATTTCGGAGGATCATCGTAAAATCACTAATTTCTTATAATATTAATGTGAACTTTTCCATTTGTATATTCCATATTTACAAATATACTCTCTTTAAATAAGTAAAAGGTCAATAAAAAAAGAACTACCATCATACTTTCTTGTGAAGGAAGCGCTACATGACACATACTTTCCTCTTTCATTTTATTTCTATCCCCCAAAATACTTCCATTTTCTATTAAAAACTACTTTTATCTTTATGTTTTTTCTTATTCTACCTATCACTTCATAATTTTTTTTTAAAAAAATACGAAGAAAAATCCCAAGTTTTTTCAATCTATTTTATTTAAATATTAGTATAGAAAAAAAAAATAAAACATACATATTTAAAAACTACATCAAAAGTTCAACAAAACAAGTGGTGACAAGAATATTTTATTTTATCATATAGGCCATGAAAAAACACAAATAAATATAAATTCCCGTGAAGTTGAAATAGTGCTATGGGAAGAAAGTTTTAGGACAGAAGGAGTATATCCATCACATATTACTTTTATCATCACATGAAGAGTAAAATTAGATATCAACTACTTTGTATAATTTTAGACTTTCTTATTTTAGCATTTGATCAAAATAAGAAGTGAAATTTGCACTAAATAGGACTAAAATATAATGACTTTTCTAATGTAGGACTTAAACTTTTTTATTCTCTAAATAGGACTTAATAATGACCTAGTGGAAAGAATAATGTCTAGTAGTGATGGACATTTAGTTGAATAATGACTACTTGATAATGACCAAATGTCCTACATTAAGAAATAAAAACATATGATCCTATATTGGGAAAGTCATTATGTTTTAGTCCTATTTAGGTAAATTTCTCAAATAAGAAGTGTTTATAAAAAGGTAGAAAGTAGAGACTAGAGAGTAAATAGTTGAATAGATAGGGAGTAATAAAATGAAGAATGAAAGTTTAAGTGGGCGTATAGAATAGAGTAATGGTCAATAAGCCACTTGTCGTCCACATGGCCCCTTCTTGAGAGCTTTCTACTCCCCCGCAAAGGCAGAGTACGACTGGCAAACAGCCCCCCCTTCCTTTCTTCCTTCCTCCATTTTCACCTGAGCTTTCCACACAGAGAGACAGAGAGAAAGAGAATTCATAATAAGTGGCGATCGATCGGAGGAGACTCCCCATAGATCCCGATAATGGAGCAGCATGTGATCATGATCAGAGATAATAATGCTAATCCCAGAGACGGAGGAGGAGACAGAGTAATAATAAAGGATGAACACGCGCCGCCGCAAGTCCTGACTCCCGGCGGCTCCCCCGGCAATCCCGCCGCCGCGTCTCCTGCCTCCTCTTCCTCCTCTCCAGCTCACGAGTTCTCCTTCTCCCTTTCCCTCCACCAGTCCTCGTCGTCTTCATCGGCAAAAGTCCCTGACCGAACAGGGCACCCGCCCGCCGTCGACTTAACTCCGGCCGATGAAATATTCTTCCACGGCCAATTGCTCCCCCTCCAACACCGCCACAACCGCCGCTCCTCCCACATCCCCTCCGAGACCTCCGTCCATCCCCTGAAAGATTCGTCGGATGACCAGGATGCCCCTTACAGTCAAACGGACCTCCGCCGGAGAAGCACCGACGATCGCAGAAGAGAAGAAAAGCAGAAACCCAAATCCTTCGCTTCCATGATTTGGCCGTCTAAATGGAGAAAAGGGTCGCCGGAGGTCAAAGAGAAGGAGAAACAGGGGAAGAAGGTGAAATTCGACATGACGCAGATGGTGAAGAGATACATGAGAATGGTGTCGCCATTGTTGGGGTTCAGAGGAACAAAAGCAAAAGGGGAAGATGACCGGAAATCCACCTATTCCTATTCCGGGTACATAAATCCCACCGGAGGAAAAAAAGGGAAGAACAAAGACGGGAATATGATCAGAGGGAGGAGCTCGGCGCCGGCGTCACTGAGGGCATCTCCGGCGAACAGCGGCGTTCTTCTGCCGTCGGCGACTTCGGGCGGCGCTGTTTCTTCATCAAGTGAGAGCACCATGGAGGAATTGCAGTCCGCCATTCAAGCAGCCATTGCCCACTGCAAGAAATCCAGTGCCACTTCAGATTAAACTCCATCGATCGTCTTCTTCAAGATTCAAGTTTAGGTTTTTTTCCCATCACACACTTTTAATTCAATTTTCATCTTTTAAGAAAATCAAATCCACCATTCATTGGAGGCTCAAGAAGAAGATTAAAAAAAATTGGGCCAATGTTTATTTGCTGAAATCTTAGGGTAAAATTGAATTATGGAGCATAATTTAGCAAAGTAAAAGAGGGATCAACAATTTTTTCTTTTTTAAATACAAAGTATAATAACAATAAGACTGTTTTTATGCTCATCATGAGTGTCATAATACTATAATCATGTTATATGCTCATTCTTAAATTTTTTAAACTTGTTTTCTATTCTATATTCACTTTATTTTCGAGTTATGCTTCAATATTCATTATGACATTATTGTAGCATAATCACAAAATAAAGGAAAATGGGGAGTGATTAGGAGGGGGCTGAGGGGTTTGTGGAGCCAAAAGATCCTTGATTAACTTGCCAAATGACATATTATGACACTCATAATGGAAGTTTAAAGAACCCCAGCTATCATAATAATCATGGTTGGTGCAATTTATTGACAATAATTAGTTAGTTTTGCTTTTATTGACAATAATTAATTAGTTTTGCTCTGTCATGGAGACTACACATGTGTATATGTATGTATCACTGTGATTGATTGATGTGAGATGAGTTCAATTTTTTTGGGCTCATCTTAAATCAAATTGGCTCATTAGCTTTGGATCCAAAAGTGGTGATACATACTCTTGAAGCTGGAGAATGTATTTGTATCATTATCTAAGTTTAGTGTGTACATATTTTTTGTTCTTATGTGTGTTAAATTAATACCGGGTGCCTGGTGGGGGATCCCAACATATATCCAACCCATAGAACTTGAAGGACAAATCAAGTTGTCATCTTTAATTGCCTAATCCAAAAAAAAAAAGAAATGAGCTTCATCCCCGAGGGTTCCTCAAACCCGGCTGGATGGTCAATGAGATGAGATAAATTAAATTTTAATCGTATATTAGAGCATGGAGTGAAGTCTGCAACTGGTAATTGCTGAGATCTGAGTATAATTATCTCCCAGTACAATTACTAGAAATCAAATTCATGTCTATCTCTTGGCATTCTTAATTTGCCGTTACCGAGCAACATCTACCAACATCTTTGCCCAATCCAACCTATATATGGGCCACACAACAAATAAGACAAGTCTTTTTAAAATATAATTTTCACTTTTGTTCTCATAAATTTTGAAGTTCATACAAGAAATAATAAAATTATCATATAAACAAAATAAAAATGATAAAGCTGGCAAAAGAGTATCTTCATCTAATCCTTTTAATCAAAATTGCATTAAGTTGGCCTTAATACTTTGGATTTTTTTCAAAGACGTGTTAATGTATTTGGCATGTCACGCATAAATAAATAAGATGTACCACAAATAAATACTCCATATTAAATTCTAGTCCTCGTACTAAAAGTTGTGTTAACGATTTAGCCTCAATGATCTATGAATGATGAGAGATTCTTTTAAAGTGGGGAGAAAAAGAAAAAATCTAAAGTAAAGGAGACTGAATTAATGTGATTTTAGTATTTTTACCGTAAAAAAACAATGTAATTTTTATAAAATTAAAACAATTGCAATTTTTTACTCGTAGTACAAGTGGTGAATTAAATAATTATATTATCACTTTATTGTTTTTATCACCTGGTAAAAAGCTTCACGACTCCATCCATGTTTTTTCCTTTTGTTCGTAAAATAAAATTTATATTTATTTATTTGATTAAAAAAGGAATGCATAACTCAAAAATATTGTCATCTCACCATTAAACAAATTTCAATTATAATTTATTTTAGATTTTCAAAATTTATAGAAATATAATAAAATTAAAGCCAAAACAATTAATGGAAGGAAGATTATATAATCTTTTTCTCCGGAAATAGCATAAAAATCTTTATTAGATTTAGTGTAGCGTGAATTATGGAGATTATAGTGTAAGAGACTTTAGAATTCAACTTTTTAAATATTCCTAACTTGGAGTAGTATTATTTTTTTGACAATATGTAGTACGTTCATAGATCATTTCATTGGGCGTCATAATTTTTGTTGACTTCATTTATCAACGATTATTGAAAGCTACACGTCTAGACGCCGTGACCATTATTTAATTCATCCATACATTAATTTATACTATATCTTGATTAAAAAGTTATGCCATAAGTCCATAATTTCAGAAATTGTGAATCGGTGTAATGATGAATACTATTAGGGGCTTAAAAAAATGAACATCATTAGGAATTTAGGATCGACTCAAAATCTCAAATGTGTGGTATGATCGATAAGCCTAATATTTTCAGCTCATCTTAGTATATTTAAAGAATATTTATTTAATATAAAACCCAGACTGTCAATGCCTTATAAAAAAGTTGGAAAATAAAAGGCCTTATGCCCTTATCATTTCATTTTATGCACTCCATATATGAATATTTTTAATGTCAATTTATAAGGCAAATAACATCATTTGACCAAATATTTAAAACATAATAAATTACTCTAACGAAATGTCACAAACACTATTTAAAATTAACGGAAACTTTTTTTTTGTTTATTTAATCGATTATATGATAAAATAAAATATTACTGTCACCTCTTATTTTGAAAATTTTGACGTAGTTTTTGCATATGTAAATTTTATTTTTTTATTTTATACTAATATTAAATAAAATAAATTAAAAAAACTTTTAAAAATTCATTTTGCATAATGGGACAAGCATTTTGGGACAGAAGGATATAATTTTAAACTACGGAGTATATGATAAACTTATTTAGAATTTCGAGGACAAATTGACGTACCCTTCTACGGAGTCGGGAATCCTTTGTGTAGAGTTATATTAGGACTTTATGTGTGAACAAAGTTATGCTTTTTGGACCCCCCAAAAAAAACTGCGACTTATTAAGGTACGTGGTGAAATTTATGAAAATAAAACTGAAATATGAAATTATATCAAAGGTTAAATATGCTTATCTCTATAAAATGAATGTTTTTTGGTACTTTTAGTTTTCTAAAATATTTTTTAATTAAATCATCCATACAGAATATTGTACTTTCTCAAATCTCATTGCATGATCGTAACAACCATTTAAGGCCCGTTTGGAAATAGCATTTTCAGTTAAATTTAAGTTTTAGATAAAAATTTAACGGTGCAAATTAACTTCGAAAACGCTAACGCTATAGATAACCTTTTCAAAACGCTAACACTAACTCAAGCGCTTTTTCCAAACAGGCGCTTAGAGTTAATATGAAATACACGGAGTTTTTTTTAATATTAACCGATAATCAAATTTCATTTTATTGGACAAAAAAACGTTAAATTAAACGGATGGAATATTTTGACTACATTACTTTTGAACATCAACAATTTAGAGTTTTGTCTAGTCTTAATTAATTTGTATCTTAAAATTGGCATGGGAAAGTCTTGTGACAATGAGAGTACGAAATGAAGTCTTGCCATGAGAATCACTTTTTTTAAAAAAAATATTACAAGACTTTTAAAACCGGTCACAAGAGAGAAACATTGGAAAGCAAAAAGCATGTCACCTTCCCTGTGTGTGGGAGCGGCCTATTTCTTGGCGAAGGTGACAGCCATGGGATTCTGGGGTGAGATCTTGAAGCCTTGTAGGGCCTGCATGGCAACAGATGACTGGACATCGTCTTCGAATTCCACAAATGCAATCCCAGGCTTCGCCTCTATCATCCGAACCTCCTTAAAACCAGGGTACTGGTTGAACAGCAGCTCCAGCATCATGCTCGTCGTCTCGTTGGGCAGATTCTGTATGAACAGTATATTGTTTGGCTCTGTTGTTTCTTGGGATCCTGGCTTTCCTTGCCGCGCTGCTGCAGCCTGCAGGAATTTCGTAATTATTTTTATTAGCAGGGAAACAAAATTTTTTGACAATTATACAAACCTCAAACACACCCTTAAAGTGACATATGTGAACCACAAGGTTCTCAAAATCTTACGCTTGGGCCTCCATTTGCGCCTCGTGGGCCATTAGCTGCACCAGTCTGATGTGCTTCTTCAGCGTGTTTCTTCTTGTCAGCTGAACATTAATGCAGGTGAGATTATAACTCGTGAATTTGCCAAGGATGCAATACAAAGACAATCTAAATACAAAAAACCAGAAAGATACATAGACTGGAAATAAGGTTAGGTTTGACCTACAACACTGGAATGGATAATATCTTACCTTTTTCATCATCCTTCTTTTCATATGCCTTATTCGCTCTAGTAATGCAATCAGATTTTGTTTTTGCATATTGTATCCGCTGCATTAGGTCAAACAAGTGTAAAGCTATATGATCTTTGGAGCATTTTGATGAACCTGCTATAGAAAGAGAGTATCAGAGTATGTTATACAAATGTGCAACTAACCATTGGTTTATCATAAAATGGGAAATTCTGCATTTGTCTAACTGCACTACTAGCAGCTGTAACTTCACTGAAGACAACCCACGCCTGCCCTCTAAGCTTGGCTGTCTTCAATGCAACAATGTCCACTATCCTGCCATACTGTGAAAACAAACAATACAGAGACCTCTTCAACTCTGCCAACAAAAGGAAAAAATGCATCAGTCACATACAATTCAGAGTGAAGAGTTAAAAAAATAGACACCTAAAAAGTTAAAACACCTGCAACGGTGCAAACAAGTCCGCTGGAGCATAAAGGTTTTGGTTTGTTTTTTGTGTGTGAGGGGAATTTACAAATATGGAGTCATAAAAGAATGTGATGCTTCAGAGTCACATAGAAAGCATACTATGATGAGAAGTGGACAGCAAAATCTAGCAAATTGAAAAACGGGGAGTATATTTCAAATTTTCAATTCTTCACATGGTAATAAGTAATAACAGAAGAGCAGTTGTAAGCTTCTGCAGCACTAGTTTGGGGATACATATACACACTAAAACACCATATAGTGCACACAAAAAAATACAGGAAACTACCTTTAGTAAAAATTGCTTATATATCATACAAAGTGTATCACTATGGGAACCAAATAGGGGTACGAGGATATGGGGACCAAAATCTGATAACCCAAAACACCAACACTTGTAAGTACTTGTACAAGATTTTCAGGTGAAGTGCAAATTATGTTTTCAATTACACAGCACGCAAGAAAGATGTGTGGTTTCATTTATTAGCGCACTAGAACAAACACAAGCGAGCCAAACTGGTATGGCAATGCTAAATGATCTCGGAGTTAACAAGCAAAC